CCCCCGCCATGTGCTACTCCGGCTGTGTCTCTACCTGTAACACTGCTGCAGATAGGCAGACAGTAGTCCTTCTTTGGGGACCCATGCTTGGATGGAGGTGGGAAGAACAGCCAGCAAGTGTAAAGGTGGGGAATGGGCTGGGGGGCAGCACGTTGTAGAGTGCAGGTGGGGATATAAGAATGTGTGCATAACTAGGAAATCCCTCAGGTGGAGGAAGCCCAGTGTAAAACCATTACTGCAGGCAACCAAGGTTGCCAACCCAATACATTTTTTCAAATAATTTGCCTTTTTTTTTTTTTTTTTTTTTACCAACAACCGAACTTTTTAACTATGGTTGGCATTAAACCCTGAATTTGAACCTGCCCTTGTCCAGGGCCTGGCAGAAAGGTTGCAATTACATTATGTAAAACATTTATCAGTAAAAAGAAAGTTTGCTTGTCAGTAAAATGTTTGTCATTTTGAGTAAAAAAAAAAATGGTCTTGGGTTGGCAAACTTGCCTGCAGGCAACCAGCTTTGAAGTGGAGGTTCTGTACCGCATAGCTACATACCACCACCTCTTCTTTCTCATGATGCTTTCCTGGGGCATTTGGATTAACCAACCACTGGCCAAGCAGCTGCCTCATGAAAGTCAAGTACACCATTGGGACACTGTCAACAGGAGTTAGGAAGGGAAGAGATGACAGATGGGCGAATTGGCTTGTCAGTAACTAAGCCCACTCTGCTGCCTGATGAGGAGGGAAGGGTGTCCTTTGGCATGGAATAGCATGGTAGCATGCCTCCACATTGACTTGATGGGTTGAAGGAACTTGTGTCCCAGGCCACCACTCCCTCACTGGATGAGAAGAGGTCCAGTATCTGCAAGGTGGAGGAGGGCTTCTTCAGACCCCAACTCCCCTGTGAAAGCAGAGCCCTGGAAGTAGATTCAGAGATAATGGCTGTGGCTGGAGTAGGAGGCCAGGTGGTGGTGATGATGATGATTTCGATGATGAAGTGAGTGTCACCAAACTCATATGTTGGAAGCATCAGGGCCAGAAAGCCAGCAACAGGGAGAATGGTCAATGTCAAGAAGACCTTTGATGCCCAAAGGAGGGTTATAGAACAGTAATGGAAAGACATTCCTGGGCTGGGGTTGGCAATGTGCCTGCTGACTGGGACCTACTCCATGGGTAGGAGGAGTTCACAGAACGATATCTTGGGGAACATCAAATGGAATTAGGGTGAATTAGTGGGATTCGCAGTGCTGAATCCAGTCTGAGGTTGAACTTTGGGGTCATGATAGCTTTGGGATTTACTGAAAGGTTCTGTCTACGAGATCCTCAATGGATTTTCCCCTATCTGGTCACAGTTCTCTTTTCAGGTGGTGGAGGATGGGAAGAGGACAGTAAGTAGCTTGTCCCCTGATCAGGATCCGCAACGGAAGACACTGGAAAGAAATCCCAAATTTTCTAGGATGTCTTCTACACGGACATCTACTGTTCCATGTCATGGAGTGCTGATGACAGGAGCTCTGTAGGGCAACTATAAATGCTCTTCTTTTGCTAGAGGAGATAGTGTCAAGGACTTTACTGCAAGGACCTTGTTAGGTTCTACTGCAGTATGGTTTAAATAAGCCTGTAGCAGCTATTCAGCAAATATAAACTTAGTATATGTAGCCTTTATTTATAGTATCAGCCAGATGATCAGAACTGGCTGATATCTGAGGTAGTGCACAGTTAAACATAAATCCAAAGTGCATTTCTCTTCTACTCTTTTTATACATTAGAGGTGCTTATGTTAAGCATGCATCATTGCATATTATCACTTGCTGATTTAATGATCTTTATAATTAGCCTTTATATCTATTATAGTCAATTTTGGTTGTATCATTTTATATACTTTCTTCATGTTCAATCATGTTTGGTACCATTCACCTTTACAGTGTACAGAGCATGTATTGTTTTAGGTTTGGTCATACCATCCGCTGTGCTCTTTACTACCACAGTTTGTACTGATCCTATCCATCTCAGGGTGTTCTTGAGTAGATCCCAAGTATTCTAATGCACTCTACTGTCCTTTACCTAATGTAGGACCTTCAAGCTTTTAACGTATGCTGGCCTGCCTTATGGCTTACAGGTGGTCCTGCCCAAAGATCTAGCTTCCTTGGAAAAGCCAAGCCTGCCTTGGTGGGCCTTAGGGAAAG